GGAACGAAGATTTATCGGACAGTGAACAGTCCATTCCTGAGGATGATGTTGCGGAAGGCGGGTACGACCAAATGTTATTCTTTGATTTCGAGTGTCGTCAGGAAAATGGAAATCATGAACCCAATTTATGCGTGATTCAGAACGAAGCTGGTGACGAATGGGTTTTTGAAGGGGATAACACACGGAACGGGTTTTGCGAATGGTTGTTTCAAAAAGAACGGGCAAATTGTGTCGTGATGGCCCAAAATTTCCAAGGGTACGACAGTTACTTTATTCTGCAATACTTACGGGAAAACGGTGTCAAGTACGATGTCATCATGCGCGGTGCCAAAGTCCTTTCCTTATCTGTGGACATGTTCAAGATCAGATTTATCGATTCCTTGAACTTTATCCCGATGAGATTGGCAGATTTTCCAAAAACCTTTGGCATAGAAGAGCTAGCAAAAGGGTACTTTCCGAATCTTTTCGACAAGAAAGAAAACGAGAATTATGTGGGATCGATCCCACCCACTCCCTACTACAATCCGAACGGAATGAGTCCTGCAGCGAAGGAAAAGTTTTTACATTGGCATAGAAATTTGAAAGACAATGATTACGTGTTCAACTTCCAAGAGGAAATTCTCGCTTATTGTCGTTCCGATGTGGATATTTTGCGACGCTGTTGCTTGGAATTTCGCGAACTGTTCCGTGACGTTACTAAAATCGATCCCTTTGAGAAATGCCTTATCATCGCGTCCGCATGCAATCAAGTGTATCGGACAAACTATCTTCGAGAAAACACCATTGCCATCATCCCACCGCGCGGTTATTGTCCCGAAAACAAACAGTCCCTTCTTGCACAAAAATGGTTGTCGTATACGGCCGAACGAAACGAGATCTGCATACAGCATGCTCGCAACGGCGGAGAGAAACGTGTTGGTCCGTATTTGCTGGATGGTTATCATGAAGAAACCCACACGGCCTATGAAGTCCATGGATGTTTCTGGCATGGCAAGTGTTTGAATAAACGCCTCCCTCGAATAGACGCCCCTTAGAATAGTATTTTAGAATAGTATTTTTGTTTATTTCTGACAGGATGTATAAACTGTTACGCTCGTGATACAATGAACCCTGTCAAAGGTAAAACCATGCACGATCTTCATCAAAAAACCGTGGAAAAGATACAGTATTTGAAAAATCAAGGCTACAACGTGGTAGAAGTTTGGGAATGTAGAATCAATCGGGAATTGGCAGATAATGAAGACATGAAATATTACTTTGATCAATATGATGGAGTCGATCCCTTGGAACCTCGTGATGCTCTATATGGAGGACGAACCGACGCGTTGAGACTTTACCATGAGTGTAATCATGATGAGAAAATAAGGTAGGACAAAAAATTTTTGACGTTATGTTTTTACGTTATGTATGACGTCATGTTTTACTACGTCATGTATGACGTCATGTCTTACGTCATTCTAGATATGTGGATTTTACAAGCCTTTACCCCTGGTGTAATAAAATGACGCGAACGGTTGTGGGACATCCACTTATCACCGAGAACTTTGACGACATCTCCACCTATTTTGGTCTGGTCAAATGCACAGTGCTTCCACCTCGAGGTCTGTTTCACCCATAGATATAGGAGATCTAGATTGCTAACGCATACCTAGCGCAGGCGGGGCCAACATGATAAATCCAAGATGGCGGTACAACAGGGCAAAAAGACTATAGATTCTATTACGAAAATCAGGATTTTTGCATTTTTTGCCGTCGCATTGTTTCGAAACTTATTCGGTCAAATTTTATGGTAAAGAGAAACTTACCGCGAAGATTTTGAGCATATATATGATTGAATTGGATGAAAACTCGCAAAATTATCCATGGATAAAAGTTCGTGTATAGTACTGATATAGTACTATATATGTAACTTGTACAGTTTTGCTTTAATTTTTGCTCACTATTTGCATAAAAAGCAAATTATAACAGACCATAGATGATAGACCCTCATCCAGTGCTCTCATCAGTTTACTTCTCTAACAAGCAAGGAGGGGGGGGGGGGGGGGTAACAGTTCATTTTTCATAATTATGAGGACAGAGCAGATGATGATGAGAGATGCAAGTATAAAACACCATTCACAAGGCTAGATGTTAACATAGCACAGTATTTCCGGCAATAAAACGCTCCAACTGACCAACTGACCATTTCACACGAACTTGTATCGCTGGATAATTTTGCGAGTTTTCATCCAATCCAATTATATATATGCTCAAAATCTTCGCGGTAAATTTCTCTTTACCATAAAATTTGACCGAATAAGTTTCGAAACAACGCGACGGCAAAAAATGCAAAAATCCTGATTTTCGTAATAGAATCTATAGTCTTTTTGCCCTGTTGTACCGCCATCTTGGATTTATCATGTAGGCCCCGCCTGCGCTAGGTATGCGTTAGCAATCTAGATCTCCTATATCTATGGTTTCACCCTGTTCTTCCTTATCGCACCCAAGGCAAGTTGATGTTTCCACTTTGCAAGACCTGTGCCGATGCCTGTAACCAGACTCCCTGCGACCATTCCGACAGTGAAAGAGCCATTCAGGGTACAACATGGTGTAGAGTGGAGCTGGAGAAAGCGTTGGAAAAAGGTTATCAAATTGTACAAATTCATGAAGTGTGGCACTTTCCCGAAACCTCGGATGACCTGTTCAAAGATTATATTGACACATTCCTGAAAATTAAACAAGAGGAGAGTGGGTACCAGAAAGATTGCGTCACCGAAGAGCAGAAGCAACATTACGTGGACGAGTACCTTGAAAAATCGGGAATCCATTTGGACCCCCATAAGATCGAATACAATCCTGGATTACGCGCTCTGGCTAAATTGATGTTGAATTCGTTCTGGGGTGAGCACCATGCTTTCATTGATATATTTTCGCTACATGATACTTAACAGTTTCTCGTTTAGGTAAATTGCACAACGACCCAACATGGTTAAAACCGAGGTTAAACACCATGCTTTCATTGATATATTTTCGCTACATGATACTTAACAGTTTCTCGTTTAGGTAAATTGCACAACGACCCAACATGGTTAAAACCGAGCAGATAAACGATCCACAAGTATTCTTTGACTACCTCACCTCTGATGAGATCAACGTGCTTGATGCCGATTTAGTGAGTGACGACATCATCGAAATCCGATATACGAGTATACGGACAATTTCATCAAACCCGATGCCAAAACCAATGTGGTCATTGCTGCTTTCACCACCGCCTATGTCCGTCTCAAGCTTTACGGCGTGTTGGACATGTTGCAAGAGAGAGTGATGTACTACGATACCGACTCAGTGATTTTTGTCAGCAAACCCAACGCACCCGAACCTCCCTTGGGCAACCAACTCGGCGAATGAACCGATCAATTGGGAGGCGAATACATTACTGTGTTTGCGTCAGGCGGTCCGAAAAATTATTGCTACCGTACGAATAGTGGTAAAGTTGAGAGCAAAATGCGTGGAATCACTCTAGACTGCACGGCGAGGCAGAAGGTGAACTTCGAGGTGATTCGTGGATTGGTGCATCTACATGCTAAATGTCAAGTGACGGGCAAGTGTCTGTGGACATTCCGTTTAGAATTACAAGAAATACCTGAACCAAATTAAGAAATTGAAACGAAGCGTATGAAAAAGGACTACAGAATAGTTTATAATAAACGTGTAATTATGGATGATTACAAAACATTACCTTATGGGTACTAAGACATAGCAGTTGAAATAAATATTTTTACGAGATGGTTTGATCTCAACGTTAATTTTTAATGTTCAGTTTGTGGTAATGATCCAAATTCACCCCCGTTTCTTTCTCCAGTGCTTCGACTTGCTTTTCGTTTTTTCTAGGCATGTCCCACATCATCATTTCTCTAGCGTTCATTTGGTAGGTAAAGGTGTTCCCCTGGGGGGCCCGAGGTACTGTTATACCCATAAATGTTTCCAATATGATTTGTGTCAACATAATGGAGTGCAACGTCGCATTGTCAATAAGTGTTGCTGGTATGATATTCTTCTCTATCAAAAGTTTCATCAAATCCAAAGTTGCCAAATTTCTCTCTTGCGTAATAATTTTGTCCGAGAGCCAGTGAGTGACAATGTTTCTCCAAGCCATGTTTGCTTCAAATGATTAGAGAACTAAAGAGTCAGTATCCTTTATAGGTTTTGATTATGGAATAATATGTAATGCATTGACGGACTGTCCCATTGTGACACGTACGGTCCTCGGAAATGTATCCGTGTTCGACGCTTGCATACCACACTTTCTCGATAAAGTCTTGGTCTGTTATAATTGCTTTGTCGTCTTCATAATACGGTACTCCGTGTCTTATTAACTCCTCTTCGGAAGATTCCTCTAAAATCTTATCGTACAGGTTAGTAGCACACACGTTACGACGAAACACAATTTCCTCATTAATGAAAAATAGTATACCGATGGTCATCTTGACGCTGTCCAACAATGAATGAAATCTGTAGAGGCATCATGCTTTTTATAGGTTACAATAACTGAATCGCGTGTTTCAATGCCCGCCTGTGTTCCACGCAAAAGGTGGTTTTCCAATCGTCCGCCGTATACTCAATCAATTCGAAATCATGTACTTTCATATCGCTCAAACTTTCAGTAAAAGCCTCCATCACTTTTGTTTCCGAAGCCTTTTCCAGAGCATGATCGAAGTATAGACATAACCATTCGTCTCTTTCCATCGTAACACACTGATGATGCGTTTGAGACAGATGCTCTGTCATGCAACCGTTACAATTTTCAACAACGAGCTGAGAGATGATAGGAGCGATTTCTTCAGCTGAAACTTTTAAAAGTTTTTTGATGATACGTTTCTGGCGATGATAGAGAACAAGTTCCTTATTGTCGATATCGATAGGTTTAGACATATTTACTCTTTGTCTGATCGAAAGTAATGACTGTTTCTTCCCAATGGAAAAAAGTTTTATATGTGCGTGCACCTTTAACAATTTTCTCATATTAGGGTGTACGGTCATGGGACACTCTGCCAGTAAAAATCCGAAGTTCAATAAAAATCATAACAAACAGAAAATGTTTAGAATCGGTATAAGTGCAGGAAGAAATTATCTTAATCTCGAGGAGCATGTACAAGTGGGATACTGTAGTAAAACCGTCAAAAATTACAACCCCATTGAAAATACGAAGCCTCAGGAGGATAGTATTCAAAACGTTGAAGAATGAAAGGATTCCGTCATTTCACGTGTGAACATGGACGACTACTTATCTAGCGTTTAGTACGATCCGAAAAGGTCGGGAGGATTTGGCGGAGTGGATCGTTTGTACCAAGATGTTAAAAAAGAGGGAAAGTTTAAAATAAGTCGAAAGGAAATCAAGGAATGGTTAATGAAACAGGACGCATACACTTTGCACAAACCCATGCGTCGCCAATTTAAACGAAACCGTGTCATTGTGGGGGGTATTGATCAACAATGGCAAATGGATTTGGCGGACATGCAATCCATGCAGAAGTTTAACGATGGTTATCGCTATTTACTTGTCTGCATCGATGTCTTTTCCAAGTATGCGTGGGTTGTTCGGTTGAAAAACAAAACGAGTCCTGCGCTGGTGGAAGCGTTCAAAATTATTTTGGCTTCTGGACGTAAACCCGAGAAATCATGACGGATCAGGGTACGAAGTTTTTAAATAGACATTTTCGGGCTTTAATGAAAGAAGAAGACATCGAGCTTTACAGGTCCTGCGCTGGTGGAAACGTTCAAAATTATTTTGGCTTCTGGACGTAAACCCGAGAAATCATGACGGATCAGGGCACGGAGTTTTTAAATAGACATTTTCGGGCTTTAATGAAAGAAGAAGACATCGAGCTTTACAACACCTATAATGAAACCAAGGCTTCTATTGTGGAACGACTGATTCGTACGTTAAAAAGCGAAAATGTGGCGCTACTTTACAGCGAAGAAAACGATGAGATGCATTGACATGTTACCTAATCTAGTATACTCTTACAACTATAGTATTCATCGTAGTATCAAAGTCAAACCCGTCGATGTCACAACAGAAAATAAAAAGCAAGTGTGGCATACTTTGTACGATGATCATAGTGGCCAAAAGACTCCAAAGTACAAGTTCAATGTAGGTGATCTGGTTAGGATTAGTAAAATGAAACGTACATTTGAGAAAGGTTACTTGCCGAACTTTTCCAAGGAAATTTTTACCATAAGCAAGCAAATTCCCCTCGATCCACCATTGTATAAACTTAAAGATTACGATGACGGAGAACTAAAAGGAACGTTTTACGATAAAGAGCTGCAAATGATAATCAAGCAAGATGATGTGTACGAGGTGGAAAGAACCCTGAAAAAACGCGGAAGAGGCAATAATGTACAATAGCTTGTAAAATGGTTAGGGTACCCAAACAAATTTAATTCATGGGTGCCGGCACCTCAAATAAAAAAGATTTAAAATCTTACATTCGTGTTATTTTCATGTATCATTCATCGTGAGCGGACCGCATTTTTATCTTACGCTTCCTAGCAATGCATCAGGGGCAGCGCAAGAAAGTCCCTACGTAGCAGATTTGTCCTTTTTCTCCTCCACATTCATGTATTGCAACATTGTGGAAGCACAAATGGTCGGGAATGTAAATGCAAAGCTGATCAAAACCATTATATTCCTGTTGAAGGAACACATGGTGATATTATTACAAAAACATTCACAAATATACAGTACGTACCTGTGGAAACGAATTCGTTTAAAGATATGGAAATTCTTTTAAGGACCGACACGGGCGAACCCATGCCATTTGAACGCGGAAAGGTGGTGGTAACACTTCACTTTAGAAAGCACACTTACTTCCATCATGATGACCGGAAATACTTACGTACCTTATTACCTTGCTCAGCAGCAAGGGCATGGTATGCCCGTATTCCGAGGCAGCCTGTGGCAAATGGGTCACGGACAAATGGGTTACGGTCTTGGCAATTTGTGTCGTAGTCTTGCAAAAGTCGTTACGCCCTTAGTAAAAAGAGGAGCGAAAACTCTCGGAAAAATTGTGGCAACAACAGGTGCCGATCTTTTGGGAGACGTTGCAGCCGGAAAGAACGTAAAGGAGGCCGTAAAAGCGCGCGGTCTAGAGGCTGTTAATGCTGCAAAAACAAAAGCCTTGGAACACATACGAGCAAGAAACAACCGGAGGAACAATCAGGTCGTGGAAGACGCCCCCGGGGTGGTAAATGGCCGAGAAGTAGATCCAAAAGCACCAAACGATCCAGAAGCAGAAAACGGTCGAAAAGATCTTGATGCTGACGAAAAAGTAGGAATCGTGAATAATTTCCTAGACAGTTTATTCAAACAAGTCGATGTGTTTCTGAACGAAAAGCAGGTAACGCAAGCAACAAGTACCTATGCCTATCGTGCGTATTTGGAAACCCTTCTCAACTATGGTCCGGCAGCCAAAAACTCTCAACTCACCGCATCTATGTTCACGCCGGGTCAGCTCTTCCCAAAAATCGGCCATTTGATATAAACTTTTTCAATATATTTCGGATGGACATGAAACTTGCTACATCAATATAACTTTCCATTCCGAACAATCGTATGTTTTTTATTTTTGAGATTTAACGGTTTTTGGCGGGAAAATGACGTCACGAAACCTCCAGTTAAAATTTATTTTCAATATCTTAATAGTTTTTAAGCAGAATGTGGAAGATCATGTCATGAAGAGTTGAAAACTGAAAACAGATTTTAAATATCTTAATCTAATCACGAGATACAAGGAGTTTAGAATCGAATTTTCCACCATTTTGTTACTATTTATAGATTTTTCACGGTTTTTATAGTGAAATAACTTTGGATTAGTTTTAGATATTTAAAATCCGTTTTCAGTTTTGAACTGCTCATGATATGTTCTTCCAAATTCTGCGACAAAACTATTAAGATATTGAAAATAAATTTTAACTGGAGGTTTCGTGACGTCATTTTCCCGCCAAAAACCGTTAAATCTCAAAAATAAAAAACATACGATTGTTCGGAATGGAAAGTTATATTGATGTAGCAAGGTTGATGTCCATCCGAAATATATTGAAAAAGTTTATATCAAATGGCCGATTTTTGGGAAGAGCTGACCCGGCGTGGTTCTACAAAGATAAGGCGAAAAATGGATGTGGCCGATCCCATTGTCACAAATGCCGCTAATGCTAACCTTGGGTTGAAAAAAAGATACGAATTTAGCAAAGAAAGCGGAACCATTGAAATGGCTGGACCAATATTTTGTGACATGTTTATGACAGAGCGACTTTTGTTGAGTTATGTCGGCATAAAATTGGTTCTGAATCGAAACATCCAAGAGTTTTGTCTCATGGCCTCGGAGGGTGGTGCCGACTACAGAGTGAAGTTGGCCGATGGGTATCTCAAGATACGAAGGATGAAAGTAAGTCTCAGCGTTGCCGTGGCTCACGAATTAGCCTTGCGAAAAGGACCGGCCATTTATCCCATTCGCCGCGTGGAGTGTAAAAGTTTCATCAATCCTGCGGGCAATCCCTCCCTGAGAAGGGACAACGTCAAAATCTTTTTAAAATCATTTATTAATCAACAACAAAAACAAAAGTCAATAATCCACCCATTATCTTGGTGTGTCTTTTCCTCATACGATTTCAATGCGGTCCGAAAAAACTGAAAAAACTCCTTCGAACCCGTAGGATTAAAATTCTTTCTCTACCTCATAGCATCGCTAACCAAATGCGATATGATATTTGTGGTGTTACTCTGAGTATATATCCACACCGGGCGAGCTTGAATGTGTTGGAATCCTGAATGGAATCCTGAATGTTGGAATCCTGAATCCTGAATGTTGGAATCCTGAATGGTTTCGCCTTTAATCTTCACCTGTCCCGTTTTGTCCCATGAAATAACATCAGGTCTTGATTTCAATTGGTTTAAAAGCGCCGTAGCTCTTGGACGCATCGTTTTCGGTATGTGTTCCACCACGACAGCTTCGGATAATTGTGGTTCGGGTTGTTTTTCTTCTTCCTTATTGGGTGCAAACCGAACCGTTGGTACCTGACTATCTTTTTGTTGTCTCAATTCTAAGTAACGCTCCATGCTCGTATTGAACAACTTTTGCTTTTCGTCATCATCCAGATCCGAATGCTCAAGAATATCTGACAATCGTATGTCGCTTCGCAAAAGGTCCGAGGTAATCGGGGAGGTTTCCAATTTCTGCTTTCTTTCGAATCTGTCAAGCATCTCTTCAGGGACCATTGCTTTTTTCATTATACTGACAAATTTCCAAGTACGCTCAAAACAGGTGGTAAAACAGTTGTTAGTTGTCAAATAACGCTTCTTTCGTTTTTTTGATACTTTCTTATTCGCTAATGCACGGAGATGTGTCTTATAACGCAATAACATCAGTTTCTGACGCGGGGTCAATGGGATAACCCCTTTAAGCAAATTGAGTGAGCACTCGCAAACAGCTAAGAGCACTTCGCCTGGAGCATGCGCAATAAGCATCTTATGCAACTTAGGTTTGCACACAGCCATAATTCGCAAATAGGGAAGACTTCTTCTCTTATCCCATACCTGTGTTAAAAGCGGCTTTCTGATTGGTTTAAAGCAGGTGAGCTTGTCGTCGAGCTCACCTTCTTTTTGCCGAACTCACCTGCTTTTCGCCCGAACTCACCTGCTAAACTGCTTACGTTGCAATAACAATAACAAATATGGCGGACAAGATTTAGCCGATAAACCTAAACTTTAATTAAAGAACTTTTTCGGTGACTAACATACTGAGACTGAAGAAAAACCAAAGAAAAAATGCAGTAAAGGTAATGTAGACGTAGATAAAGAAGTATTTTCTTGCCCAGTGATTTTTTTGGCCGGGAAAATGTTTACAAAACATCGACGAATATATCGCGAAAAGCTACAAATGTGTGTATGGCTCGGTGTATGGGATTAAAACCAAACGTACTTGCAGGTTCGGTGAGTTCGGGATTGGACGCACCTCGGGTAGCTGGAAGTTTCCCGAACTCACCTCGCTTCGCTCGGTAAGTTCGGGAAACTTCCAGCCACCCTCGGTGCGTCCAATCCCGGACTCACCTCACTGCAAGTACGTTTGTTATAATGCGCTTCGACATCTTGATAATGACCCAATTCATTTACGTGCCATGTCCTAAATACGTTTTACGTAAGCAAATTGCTGTTCCCCTGGTAAAATGTTGGTTCTGAGACGTATACTTTCGGGAGTTAGCTGATGATAACCATAGGGTTTACTCGTTGCGTCACGAAACGCCTCCAAAAGATAGTCGGTGTGCTTAGGAAACATCTGTTTGGCCAGGGTTGTAAAACCTAGCGAATCGCGTGGATTTCGGAATATTAGCATGTAATGGGAATTCAGACTGATGGTACGGGATAATTTACCAGGTGGAAATAAATTCTGTGTCAAGTACAACACGGATATTCCTCGATGATGCGAACCGCGAGTAAACAAATCTGCAACACGTGGATCGTTGGAACACTGAGACATCAAATCGTCCAACACGATTAGAGAATTGTCATGTTCCTTCGTTATTTCGTTCATATCGTTCGGAAACCCTTCTATCAATTCAACATTCGGAAGGAATTCATCAAATTCCTTTTGATACTCTCCGTAACAGTAAATAATTTTGGTTGGAAGAGGATGAAACATTTCTTCTAGATGATTTAGCATACGACGAACCATATATGACTTGCCAGATTGCGTCTGCCCTGAAACGTAAAAATATGCTGGCATTTTAAATCTTACGTCCATCGTGTTCACGTGCACAACATGTACTGTGTTATTATTTGACGTGTTCGTTCGTTTTATAACCCGATCCGAGAAATCATTCTATGAAAAAAATTCCCTTCTTCAACTCGATATGCACTAAAGTCAAGGCTTCTCAGAGGGGCCGCAACCAAACGAACGGCCCTCCGCGTAGTATCTTCAGAGGCATGCATGAAATAAACTAATGTCAGATAGTCCATAGCACGGCCAAAATTAGTCACGTTGATCGTGTTAAAAACAACATGCATTTCATTAGGATTAACATTCACTACCATTTGATTGTACAACGCCTCGTGGCGCTCAAGCAAATCATTAATAGTATGAGATAATGTTCTCATGTCAATATCATCGCCCCGTGTTTGCAATTCGTCTAGTATTACTTCCATCGCAACAAAACAACAAATGAATACAACAAGTGAAACCATTTATTTATATGCAACAAATTCAACAAACAATTTTTTATCTACAGTAGTCAACAGATACTATATCTCATCTAAACGATCCTACGTTAAGCTATGACTAGCTCTATCGCATTAATTCTAGGTTTCTTAGCTACATTTTATTGTATAACATTAAAAAGTCACACGTGAATAAACGTTTTCGCGGGAAAATACCGAATAAAGTTAATGTCAACAACATGGCTGTCAAAATGTTTGTTTCTTTCTTCTTTTGTTAACGGTTCTGCCTCAAATGGGTGTGACATTCTGCTTGGAATATCCAGTAATCGGAAAGCTGGACTGCTCTAAAGAGAACCTAAACAAAGTGCCATGTAATAAAGTGATGCCGTGGGTGAAGGACGCCGATTTTGCACATAATAACTTAACGGTGGTGAACATGACGGAGCTCCTGATACTATTTCCAAATATTGCTCGATTAGACCTGAGACACAATCCCATCAAATGCCTTTCTACGACCCTGGTAAAAATCCTTATCGACTGTCCACCCACAATCTCTTCAGCCACAATCTCTTAACCCGTTTAAATGTTTCTATAAAATATTGCCGCATCATCGTTACAACTCTCCCAGTCAACATATCTACAGCAATTACTTCTGGCAACGGGAAGTCGAATCAGTTTTTATTTATAGTCCTTCCAGTGTGTTCATCGTTTGTATTGTTTTCGTCTGTTTCCTGTTTGTTTGTCTAATGAAACGCCGCCGTCGCCCTACCAACAACATTCGTATGGAAATTTTATTTTCAATTGCCTCTTCTGACAGTGACAGTGACAACGAAAGCAGTTTATAACTTTCCGTTTGTACTTGATATTTTGTTAGTAATAGAATCCTAAAGTGGAAGCTTAGTCAAGTTCGCCCCCATCATATCAATGTGAGGACCTCTGAATGTAAACATTGTCCAAATTTTGAATTTTTTCTAAGCATATTCATTTAGAAGCACAGCGAACCAAAATAGTGTTAGATACTCAGACAGTACATCATATTTAACTAGAAAATACATGCATGCAGAAACCCTCGCCTTGCTGACAAAACCGTTGTATTTTCCGAACATGAAGTATCTAAAGTAGTTGTCATTGTAACACGATAATTTTTTAAGAATATTCTTACAAATGAAAATCGCCTAAAAATATCACTTTTAATTACAAAATTACCAATTTCCCAACATATTTATGTTAGGTATGTAATTATACGTAATACAAGCTTCAATTTAAGGTAAAATTCAACCACAAACAATTCACAAAACGTTTTAAAGTGTTCTATATAAAACTAAACTGCCTTTAGCTATTAAATGGCTTTATCGATAAACTTTGAGTTTGCAATAAAATGGTTTCAAATTCTCGCTTGCAAATAACTTTGCTTTATTTTTTATTTAAAAAATTCAATATAATAAAAAAGGGAATCAATATTAAAGATACACTGAAATTATATGCTGTCTTGTTTAGTTGTTTCATATACACAAAGGCCGTCGGGTTTTAAAGCCATTATAAAATCAATATTTAAAACAAACTTACCTTCGTTATCGTCGGCTCCCTTCTTTTAGCTGATTCTTTCGCCCTTTCTTTCTTGAAATTTACAAAATCTTGCAGAAATACGAGCAAAAATGAAGAATATTTGCAAGAAATTTATCAATCATCAACTCATCAAATCAAGAAATGTTTGCTATTTCGCTGTCGTCATGTAGCCGTTATAATGCAAACTTTAAACTGATTGGACCAATCAGTGTCTGTTATTCATGACAGTCCGCCATATTTTTGAGATCAGTGAGGATGACCACCCATCGTTGGTGACCGACGCCCGCGCTCATTGATGAACTTTAGACTTCGCTAATGCTTTCGTTTCCCCGGGTGTAAATAGCCGGGGGGAATTAGTACCCTCGCAGGCGCTTCGCGCCGCCGGCTCGGGGAAAATATAGCAGTTCAAAATGTAAACAAACCGTTTAACCGCATAGTTTAAATTAGCACAAGTTTCATTAGCGTGCCTGACCCCGTTCCTAGAGCATACCCGCGAAGGGGCATGCTCTGGAAACGAGATTGTAGCGTGTGTCAAAACGTTCTCGATGACTTCCTGTCGAGTTAATTTATCATATCATGTGAAATTGGCAAGCTCAGTAAAAATACTGTAAATAAGCCGTCAGAACCGCTAATGAGGCTTCTATTCTATTCTGATGAGAATTCAAGTGATCATGTTTCGTCATGTGTACTGGAATTTTATGATTGAGAAATCCGATAGCCTGTACATGAAACGAAAACTTTATTATTAATTGTCAAGTGTCAAAACATTTCCTTTCACGTTAACAAAACTACTTATACATAATACTATTTTCATACTGTTCGTTCTAGTCTTTATATGGACTAAAATTGACAGTTGTTACAATATGTGTTACCTCTAATTTCTACTATACTATAAGATTTACTAACGTTAACGTAATTTCAAAAACAAAACAAATTTAAACGTGTGCTTTTATATAATCATAGTGCAGTGTCGAGCGGCACTCCTGTGCTCCCGCTACCCTGTTCCAAACGTCCTAAACCTATCAGTTCTATTTTCGAGGGACGTTCATGCAATGATACCCTTCTGTTGCGACGCCTTGCCAACCATCGTTTATACAACAGATAGCTTCCGCACAAACACACTACAAACAGAAATCCCAATAACGGACCAAATGTGACATACAATAAAAATAGCTTCGGTTCTTTGGATGCTGGATTATTTAGTTGTCTAGCCATTGATGATGCCTTTACGGTCGTTATGAGCGTAGACTCTTTTGTAACCAGCGTTGAAGATGGGTCAAACACTGAACTACCATGTCCAGAAAAAGGTGGAGTTGTCGACAGGGGCGGATCCAGCTCCTGAGCTGACTGATGCATACATAAGACCTCGCATTTGTAGGGGGGTCCGGGGTTATCCTCCCCCGGGAAATTGTGAAATCTAGGACCTCGGCAATGCGATTTCCTGCGTTCTGAGCGAACTCTTTTGTTGCAATTCCTATATCAGAGTCACAAAAATTTTGCTGCATTTTTGGAAAAACACGTAAAAAACATGAACCTATATCGCAAAAAAAACATAATTTCTCCACATAAGAAAAAAATTTTTGCTTGTACAAGTGTAATAGCAGCAGTGGCAATAAGTCTCTATTAAAAAATAGTCAGTACTGTGCTTCTGGTAGCCTTAACTTTTCTATTGAAAAACATTTCGGCAGAAAATCACGACAACGCAAATACACACATACTGTGTAACAAAGGTGTATACAGTGTGCTCCACTAGTTGCATTGCTGGACTCAGAAGACAGTGTTATTATGTTGTTTATGAACCATTAATTTCCAATGTTCCATGAGTAAAATCTTCTAGCATTAGAATTTAAAGTAAAATAAAATATGGTGCATAAAGGTATTTTGTGCTTTACTCAGTTTACTGGGTAAATATATGCAACTCTGTCTTATGCTGCTAATCTTACTCTCATGGACAGTGTGGTTGGCATCAGTTGGTCAATTTCACTTGCCCCTAGCTGCCTTTGATATGAACTGCATGGTGAACAGCCCACACTCTGAATACTGAGAATATTGCCTTGTGGCGAGGAAACCAGTAAACTAACACACAACAAACACTGGGTTTAAAATTATATAAATATATATTAACTATAGGTACATACACAACCACATGTTTTAAATCAATAGAGACTGTGTGTAAATTAATTTAATGAAGCTATCTTAGTTGGAAATTGTTTGTTAAATAAACCAATACGAAACTGTTCAATGATAAACATGACATAATTGCTGCCGTAGCGAGCGAGCGTGAAGCGAGCGAGCGAAGCAGCAGTCCTAATCTTTATGTATATGTATATATATATATATAAGGCAGATGAAATCTCGATCGTTTCGGCGTATTTTGGCCTACCACAATGCACTGCTTCCGGGCCGGCAGGCTATTCTTGCCTAATAAACAGGCATAAGGCAAACAAGCAATGCGGATCATCTTTCATCTTGGGTTTTCTTTCAAAGCCATAGCTGGCGTAAGTGATCAAACGGCATTTTGTCGATACGCAGTAGTTCGAGCATTATACGTGGTGCTTTCGCCATTATACGCGGTGCGTTCGCCATTATACGCAGTGGTTCGAGCATTATACGCGGTGCTTTCGTCATTATACGGGGTGCTTTTGACATAATTTCCATATTCTTTCCATGTATATAATCTCACGATTGCTTAATAAATCTGGTAGGCCTATATGGCTGTGCTTTTTGCCTCTGCCTGCAATGACGGATGACATGCTTTTAAAAAGGTTTATTTATAAAAAGGTGACTGCACTTTGTGAGTTCTTATATATTATCATATAGTGTTGATTTATTAGTAATAAATCTGTGTATATAACATAGGTATATAAATTAATATAACGCAGCAAATGCGCGCCAAGCAGTATAAACGCGGCTGAAATACGATATTAAAATCTTGAATGTGCCGTATGATTTAATTTTGTTTTAGGATTTAAAGCCTTTAAAAATGCTTTGTCATTTGTATTTGTACTTGTACTGCATCACAACGCAGTGCGTAAGTGAACAGATTTCACATGTGAGGTTGTCTTGTATATATTTTTGCCTTCTTTGATAAACATTATTAAACACGCAAATTTAGTGAGACGCACACTCGCACATGTTAAATGTCACCTGCATGTCATTGTCATTGCCCTTTAACCCCTGGTCTAAATCATATGATTATTGAAGCGGGGCCGTTTTGACTTTGGGCCGTTTTGACTTTGGGCCGTTTTGACTTTGGGCCGTTTTGACCTAGCACCGTATTTGTGGGCAAATTGTCTATACAATTTTATATACTAGATATCACAGCCATACCTGCCATTTTGATCTTTTCCTCGCGTTAGATAAGTTGATAAGTACACTCATTCTTGTTAGCCATCGTACCTGTTCGGCTGTTCCTCTTTCGATACGAAACTTCGAGCGCTGAGTTATCATACGGCACATTCAAGTGTATAAATTATGGATGATTCCAATTCATTACGAATATTTCTTACTCTTATTCTTTAAAATATTAAGAGGCAATTTTTTTTCAATGTCACGTATT